TTCGTCATTTTTCTTGTCACCGTTTTATATCACTTCATACATGGATGCCTTTATATCCTGTCATGTAAGTAGTGACATAAAACAGTATCGAAAAAAGTGGTGATATATAAACATTACTCGATCACACACTATGTAAGACATTATGGTGACTGAATATCCAGCAGTCTCTAAAATACAGCCAGAAGAAACTCATAGCCAACAAGAAATTGGCATGTCTCGCACTATTCTTTTGGTTAGAAGAAAGTTCAAATTCAAAAAATTGCAGGGGTATTATGGAAGTAATGGCTAAAGTGAGACCTAAATTTTGACAACAATGGAATAGCCAAAAGACTAGAGGAGAATTATTTGGGGCGATAGAGAAACAAATACCTCCATAGATAATCCTGATTGTAGCAGCAACTTCAGGGCTGGTGTTCACTTGAAGCCATTTCCTTAATTCAGAATGTACCTGTTGTGGAGAAAAGACTTACTGAGAAAGATTGCATAGTGGAAACTGGAAAACTTGCAGCAAGTTGATGTTATAGGATCTCTTCCAGATCAACCATTACTAGAAATTAGTTACATGTAGTGCAATCACAGACCTCCACATACCAGATGAGATGGACCATAAAAGACTATTCGGAAGTGACTCAGATTGGAAGGCATGCACTGCCATAACTATGGGTTTTTAGGTGGTGTGTGTATGGGTGCAAGGGGGAGGGGAGGCACCGCCATTTATTATCTAATATATCATATACCCTTGATCAGGTTGAAAAAATCGTAAGAGCCTATCATTCAAATAGTTTGGAGATAAGCAACTTGAGTATTGTTCTTGGTAAATAAAATATGTAATTTGAAGAACATATCATCATCGTTTCAAAAAAAAAAAAAAGAAGAAGAACATATCATTAGCCTAAATGTAGCATCTGAATCCTCTGAGCGCTCGCCAACCTTCACTTGCTTCAACACACGTATTATTGGTAACGGAGGCTGACCCAACCCTTGATAGGACTAGATAGCTCAGCCTGATCCACCAATGCAGCTATCTTTCCTGGTCCCCCTCTCACTGGAGGGCATAAAGAATGGCTGCACTGGTATTGTTCTTGATAAATAAAAGATGTAATTTGAAGAACATATCATTAGCCTAAATGTAGCATATGAATCCTCTGAGCGCTCCCCAACCTTCACTAGCATTTTTTTTTTGGTCAGGCCAACCTTCACTAGCTTCAACACAGGTATTATTGGTAACAAAGGCTGACCCAACCCTTTACGACCCAACCCTTAATTAGACTAGATAGCTCAGCTTGGTCCACAAATGAAGCCATCTTTCCGGGTCCCCCTCTCACAGGGGGATTGCAGTGACATCCATTCCAGCATGATCTTGCAGACTAGAAGAATATTAAGGAGCCTCCATTTTCTCCATAATTATAACTATGCCATCTTCCTTAGGTTTTGACTATATATATACTCTGACACCAGACATATCGTAGGTCAAATGGAATATTGAATATCACTTTTAGACCTTCTGTCCGAATTTAGCGGTTGTTTTATTCACTGGTCTATTTCTTTTATTAGCTTTTTTTTCCTGTTCTTTTCCAATTTGAAAGGAGGGAGGGATCTACAATTTTATTTTCTAGGTTCAATTGTGTTCTTGTTCCTAGACTTAATCCCATAACGACCAAATACTATTTCTGGATTGTTGTATCAAACATTCAGCATTAAAATCATCATGCATATCTCAGACCAGCTGACCACCTCCATACAGAATTTACCCTTATTCTGAACTCTTTCAAGCATCAACCTTTATCCTATCAAGATTTCAAACTTGTAGCAATTAAAGTTCTATAACATAACAGTTGCACTTTATTCACATTTTACACAGACTGTCAACTGTCACTCAATACAGAGCAGAGATCACAATCTAGAAACACAATTGATGAAAACTAGATCAACACGATGAAGTTGCCACTTACTTCCTGAGCTTGAGCAGGAGTTGCAACTTTCCCAGTTCCAATAGCCCAAACAGGCTCATAGGCCAAAACAACATTAGACCAACCTGGTACTCGTTCTGAAACAAGAAAAATGGAAATACAATTAAAGCAGGTTGAAAGGTGATTGGCTTGTAACTTAGATTAAAATACAGCTTTTGGCTTTTGGTATCCTACNGACTATTCGGAAGTGACTCAGATTGGAAGGCATGCACTGCCATAACTATGGGTTTTTAGGTGGTGTGTGTATGGGTGCAAGGGGGAGGGGAGGCACCGCCATTTATTATCTAATATATCATATACCCTTGATCAGGTTNTATAGGATCTCTTCGAGATCAACCATTACTAGAAATTAGTTACATGTAGTGCAATCACAGACCTCCACATACCAGATGAGATGGACCATAAAAGACTATTCGGAAGTGACTCAGATTGGAAGGCATGCACTGCCATAACTATGGGTTTTTGGGTGGTGTGTGTATGGGTGCAAGGGGGAGGGGAGGCACCGCCATTATTATCTAATATATCATATACCCTTGATCAGGTTGAAAAAATCGTAAGAGCCTATCATTCAAATAGTTTGGAGATAAGCAACTTGAGTATTGTTCTTGGTAAATAAAATATGTAATTTGAAGAACATATCATCATCGTTTCAAAAAAAAAAAAAAGAAGAAGAACATATCATTAGCCTAAATGTAGCATCTGAATCCTCTGAGCGCTCGCCAACCTTCACTTGCTTCAACACACGTATTATTGGTAACGGAGGCTGACCCAACCCTTGATAGGACTAGATAGCTCAGCCTGATCCACCAATGCAGCTATCTTTCCTGGTCCCCCTCTCACTGGAGGGCATAAAGAATGGCTGCACTGGTATTGTTCTTGATAAATAAAAGATGTAATTTGAAGAACATATCATTAGCCTAAATGTAGCATATGAATCCTCTGAGCGCTCCCCAACCTTCACTAGCATTTTTTTTTTGGTCAGGCCAACCTTCACTAGCTTCAACACAGGTATTATTGGTAACAAAGGCTGACCCAACCCTTTACGACCCAACCCTTAATTAGACTAGATAGCTCAGCTTGGTCCACAAATGAAGCCATCTTTCCGGGTCCCCCTCTCACAGGGGGATTGCAGTGACATCCATTCCAGCATGATCTTGCAGACTAGAAGAATATTAAGGAGCCTCCATTTTCTCCATAATTATAACTATGCCATCTTCCTTAGGTTTTGACTATATATATACTCTGACACCAGACATATCTTAGGTCAAATGGAATATTGAATATCACTTTTAGACCTTCTGTCCGAATTTAGCGGTTGTTTTATTCACTGGTCTATTTCTTTTATTAGCTTTTTTTTCCTGTTCTTTTCCAATTTGAAAGGAGGGAGGGATCTACAATTTTATTTTCTAGGTTCAATTGTGTTCTTGTTCCTAGACTTAATCCCATAACGACCAAATACTATTTCTGGATTGTTGTATCAAACATTCAGCATTAAAATCATCATGCATATCTCAGACCAGCTGACCACCTCCATACAGAATTTACCCTTATTCTGAACTCTTTCAAGCATCAACCTTTATCCTATCAAGATTTCAAACTTGTAGCAATTAAAGTTCTATAACATAACAGTTGCACTTTATTCACATTTTACACAGACTGTCAACTGTCACTCAATACAGAGCAGAGATCACAATCTAGAAACACAATTGATGAAAACTAGATCAACACGATGAAGTTGCCACTTACTTCCTGAGCTTGAGCAGGAGTTGCAACTTTCCCAGTTCCAATAGCCCAAACAGGCTCATAGGCCAAAACAACATTAGACCAACCTGGTACTCGTTCTGAAACAAGAAAAATGGAAATACAATTAAAGCAGGTTGAAAGGTGATTGGCTTGTAACTTAGATTAAAATACAGCTTTTGGCTTTTGGTATCCTACTTAAACTAAACAACAAATGTGGCACCTCAGAATGAGGACAGGAGGATCCAATTAAATAGGTACTTAGCAAGTTAGTGACAAAACAGGCCTCAACACAGCATGATCAATAGGCCAAATTACATAACTAAAAGAATGCCAGACATAACAAATGCATTAAAATGCATAGAGTGGAAATAACAATTTTCAGCATACTAACACTTCAAAAGCATTCAGAAGCTACACAACAATTCATGGAACAGCAAACAAACTATCCTCCTTCCCTCCCTAGTCCCTCCCTCTGTTTCGGGGGTGAGATAAACAAATTATATAGCCTTTTCAGGAGACTAACTCGATACTTCATCCATTGTGGGATAACGTATCCAATGGTCATTAAGAAATAGATAATCAAGTCAAACTAACAAAATATGATTAACAAGCACTAGAGTGTCTACATGACCAATAAATCAGCAATCCAAGTAGCTTGGCGCCACAACCATCTTAAAAAGAAGTGATAAGAAACATACTAAAGAATGTTGCACAAAAATAGTACATTAAAATGCATATACTGGCAGTAGTCGATAAATAATTGGAGAAAAAAAATGACAATAATTATGTTGTAAGGTGACGAAGTTTCTGTGCCAATTCAACAAGTTCTAACTTTCAGGGCCAGTCCCAATCAAAATCTCAGCAACCCCAGTAACCAACAAAAGCTAATTCCAAAGAACTGGCGGTAGAAATCGAAAGAAAAAGAATTAAAAAAAATTACTACAAGGAAAACTCAAAGCCGTCCAATTGACGATATCCTCTTCATTTTAATTTATTTATATTCTTATTCTTCCATCACCAAATTTTTATGCTGTTATCTTTTTTTAATACAATGGAATATGATAACATAATTAAGTAGAGGAACACGAAGGAAGAACAAAATAATAACCTTCACATCCTTTGTCAATCAATATCTAGAAAACAATAGCCAAAATGACAAATTGATAACACTTCAAAAGAAATTTTCTGAACTGACACATTTACGAGATTGATCTTTTCATCCCTTGTCATTTTTCGAAAGAGTGAGATAGGTTATAAAAAAGACAAAAGAAATCAAAATCCCATAACCACAAAGCAAAAATTTTAGGTTTGAAGCAATATTAGATTGGTTTATAAATCAAAGGCTACCACACAATTCAAAATCAAGCTCCTCGACATATCAACCAACAGTTATCAACAAAAATTCAACCTCTACTGAACAGTTACATTCTTTAGATTTTAGATAGCCGCTTCCTAATTACTAAAAAAAGTTATGTAACTAATAAATCTGGTAAGTGGTAACACAAGTGACAAGTTAGCACCAAGTTTATCGAAAAGACAAGTAACTAAATGATGGTGTGAAATAAAAGAACAGTCATAAGGACACTTCTAGAATACAGAAGCTTCTAAAACTGATCATAAGAGTGTAATTGACTGCAAAAGTTGTTTTGCACATAGTAATGAAAAATTTACCTGCAATTGCCTTAGTCTGTGCAGCAACAACAACCATAGTCGATCCTGATTCTCGCTGCTCAAGGGTCTCCCCAACACAAGCTATTACCTTCAAACCTCGATCAAGGGCATATGCAACTTTGTCTCCAACAAACTGAAATGAAATTGATTTTCCAATTACCAAAAAATGGGGAAAGGATCTGCAGTTGTGATACGTAATCAATGTTCTCATTAGAATCCTTAAAAACAGAAAGTTACTGTGTCATTGACAAAAGATTACCTCATTTGATTCACCTAACAGAAGCCTCCTTTCAGAATGGCCGATAATGACCCAAGGAATGCTTAGATTGACAATCATCTCAGCACTGCGCATGCAAGAGACATTAATTTAAATTTTTGCAATGAAAAATTTGAGCTGCACTGGACAACGACATGATTACAGATGAATTCAGGAACAAATTCTGCAATCACATGAACCAAAAGAGATACTAAGGCTGAGCTAGAAGTTGAAGATTCTAAGAGATACTAAGAACTGACACCAAGTTAACCCAAATTAAAGCAAACCAGTTGATACCCCCTCAATCAATAAGATTCTACAGCAGTAGTCAAACAAATATTCTCTGTGGCTAGTCCATCGCGTTTAACTAACAAACTCTATTCCTTGGATTGTGCTCTTATTAACTAGTGAGTAATGTCCAAATGACTACTACTGACATGCAAAAGAAATAGTAAACCAACTGGCTTTAAACCCAAAGCTGACAGTGCACCATTCACAACAATGGAACTCACATTTGATCCACTCAAACCAGAAAGAAGTCAAAATTTCAAATTTTCATATATTTACAGATGTGCCATACTTCCCAAGAATATCATACTGATTAGCACGTAATATAAAAGGCCGAAGCAAGTCACTCCAAAACTTCAATGTTTAGGCTTGGGCTTGAACAGAAAAAGCCAAAACCCAACCTCAATTTGGCTTGGAATTAGGTCAGAGTATCGACAACCCTGAAACATTCATAGAAGATATACTGATTTACTATTTCCATAGCACATGTTTGTTTTGTGATAGCTGATTAAGGGTATAACTTTATCACAATAGCAATAAAGAAGTGCAAATAAAGAATATAAATATAAATCAAAAGAGTGTGCAAGCATATTGCAAGAGCATATATCACTCAAGTATCATAACTAAAAACATGAAAAGAAAGGGGGAGGTGTATGGAGAGAAATATGTGACTAATATTGTGTAAATTATAAGTCTAAATTTGAAGCATTAACATTTTTGTATCCACAAATAATGACCATGGCAAGAATTTGCTGCATGGANATGAAAAGAAAGGGGGAGGTGTATGGAGAGAAATATGTGACTAATATTGTGTAAATTATAAGTCTAAATTTGAAGCATTAACATTTTTGTATCCACAAATAATGACCATGGCAAGAATTTGCTGCATTGGAAAACACATTCATTTCAAGAATTAATGCATGAGATGAAAACGGGTTCTTAACCCGTTTCCTTGAGCCACTCCATCAATGTGTAAACCTCACATTAGTATCAAATCAGTGCTTTCAACAACTCATACATCAAAACTTAAGTATTACAGCATTACAGAAGATATAGAATGTATATAAAACATACCTAATCTCACCAGTAAAAGCACCACCTTTCTTTACCCAGCAATTTTGGGCCGCAACATGAAAATCAGGCCTCAACAAATTTTTGACCAATGGAAGGAACACAAATGGAGGGCTCACCACGACCTCTGGAAGAAAGTGAGAATTCAAAATGTAAACAACTTGAAGATTTGATCTAAAATTGTGAAGTTCAATTTCCCTAAGAAATTGAGAGAGAAACTTTGATAAGGAAAACTGATCAAAATGCAAAAAATGTGAAGATGTCATCCTTAAGAATGAAGATACATTTTCACAAGACTGAAGAAGGAAACTGTAATAGCACTTCATGCATAGCAAAATACTTCTAAAAAGCAATGCAAGCAAACACTACGGATTCCTCCAGTGTCCAGACTCCTTACTCAAAAGGTCGGCAGAAAGCAAACATTATTGAAGTCACTATTAACTGTGAGGTGAAATTTAAAATTAAAAGATGCATGTACTGCATGCTTCCAATCCCAAATTCTTTTATCCCGGCAAAAAAAAAAAAAAAGTTGTGGAACAAATAACATAGATGTCAAAGCTTTTCCTATAACTTAGCTACAGGCATTCTTGAAACATAAACTCAATAGCAGGGATTAATTATAGAACATAATACCAGTGGCACATGTAAAATTTGATCAAACATCGATAGGAAGTAGCAGCAGCCATTCCAAGTTCCAACACTCAAACAACTTTTACACAAATGTTGGGGTGAAACCAACTGGGGTAGCTCAGTTGGCCAGAGCCTCTGGCTTCCCAGTGAGAGGTCAGGGGTTCGAAGTCCCCTCGGCACAAAAGCGTGACTGCTTGGTAAAACAAGTCCTCAGTTGCTTGGACAAATCGTATTCAAGTCTCTAGTGTGAGTCTTGTCTCCAACGAAATGCAATTCTTGATTTTAAAGGTGTATGAGTTGAGGGACCGGTTCATACCCCGGTCCAATTCAAACTTACGAGTAGGCGAGCCTCTACTACTCGCTGAGGACAGGCATTTCCCCGTCTCCAAAAAAGAAAAAAAGTTGGGGTGACAGCATTCAATGATAATGCAACAAATCCAACCCTGAATAAAATTAAGTTGATTTTACTTACCCACAACATCCTGAGACGGCACCTCACCAGCATTGAGAGTCGACACAATCTTCTTCACCTCGTCTGAGGTTCCGTTCTGCATACAAAAACAAACAAATTAAACTTTCAAATCGGCTTCACATTATTGATATAACACACGTCAAGCTGATAATAGTCCGAGAAACAATCTCGATACCGCCATAGCAGCTATAAATAAGCTCTCACATAACAACATCAGACAAATCTGTTGTTTCAGTTNAAATAAGGGCCCAACAATAGGTTATCAAACGTGTCGAGTTAATTTCGATTTTACCTCAAAAATTTCAAAATATAAATATGGCTTGTTTAATAATGTTGAAAGGATGTGTAAACGTTAACTTGACCTGACTATTAAACGGGTTATTTAAATTCGACCTGTTTGACACCTTTAATAAATAGGTTATTGTCGGATTAATACACATAACATGACACGTTTAACACACATAACATGAATTGTTTAACATACATAACTTACTTTCACACATATTCATTACCATTAAATATATCATTTAATTATTCATTCAAAATTTTTTTCAACAATAACATATTATATCTCAAATTAATTAAAATAAATTAAAGTTTAAACCTAAAAGTTAAAGCAATAACTATACTAGTGTACTACCATAATAACATTACGAACTATACATCCAATTATCATAATAGAAGTAAGAATTAATAAATAATAATATTAAAGTTGCATCAGTCATACATAATAGACAAACTATACTATCATAAATAAGTTTATAGTGGGTTAGGTCGAGTATCCGTTTAAAATATACAGATTAATCAAATCAGAATCAGGTTTACTTAATTTTGACATAAACCCGATATGATTTATTTAATGTTTGACTCATTTTGACCCATTAACCTGTTTAATTTCGTGTCTGACCTATTAATTTCATGTTCGATTCGTGTGGCGTCGAAAATTGACAATCATACCTAACAATATCTAATTGGTTATTTAAATTTTGTCATATCTTTTCGACTATATATTTGATTTGGTCTCAATTTTAATCAATAAACAGTATGACAGACACTATAATTAAAATTGTCGCATAGGCGGGTAGTGTAGAGTTTTGCTCGCAATTCAATTGAAAGTTAAAACTAAAGACTTAGAATAAAATTTTAGAGCTCTCAAGCTGCTGTCTAAAAAATGAAGAAACTGCTGTTGAACGAGGGCGAGTGTTTAGAATATTCACTTTTTTTTAATATTTGAAAAACTACATCAAGCCTAATGAATTTAATTTTTTTATATTTTTTTTTCATAAGAATGGGCATGGGGTTTGAGCATGAACGCACGCCTATATGAGAGTGTAATTTAGGCGTGGCCCACAGGCACTTTAGTTTAATTTGATTGAGAAGTGAGTGTGAATGCTTACGCACCTATGACGTACGAGTCGGCATATTCTGTAGGGATGGATCGTGTGGAGGCACTTTAGTCAATGCAAGTGGCAGCTCACGGTTTTGATTGTTCCGTGCACAAGAATCATAGGCGTTACAAAAAGTGGGTGGAGATCAGCGGATTGGGCCGAGTAACTTTTTGCCTTTGAACAGGGACAGTAAAATATGATATAAGTTCCACTTTTAATTATTTATTTTATAAATAAATAAACTTAATACGAAATGAATTAAAAAAAATTAAACTATATATATATGAGATGATTTATTTATATACTAAAGATAACTCGTACTTAAAGACATAATACGATGATAATAGTTTTGAAAAGATGTTAGTAGCCGTTGAATGCCTATTTAACTTATTGAATTCTATGCCGTTTTATATTATAGATTATAAATATTTTTTGTATATGATTTATATAATATACTAATTGAATATGACATAATTTTTTAAATATTAATTAATAAAAGAATCAATTATATGTGAAGTACTTTACGACATGAACACAATCCGTACAACTTGGGCTCGACTTATATTTTAAACAAACTTGTTAGACTTGATTTGTTCTGACCTCGACTAGAGCTCATATTTTTTTAAACATAAGTCAAACTTGAACACATTTTTTAAACTTACTTTGAAACATGAGCTTATTAGGTTTGGATTCAAACTCGTTTTTTCCACTTGTTTATCAAAACCCAAAAAAAATTCGCTTCACTCAGTACCAATGATTAAAATTTTATTTTGAAATAGCTAAAATATTTTTGTTTTTAAGGAGATTAAGACGAAACAGTGATTGAATTAAAAATTTCAATGATTCAGAGTGTTTCAAAATATTTTGATATATTTCGAAATGTTTCAACTAATATTTCATAATATTTTAATATATTTTATTCAATAATTGAGAATGATTGAAAAAAATAAAAATTCAACATTTTTATCTATTTACCATTATGTTTCTGAAACTTATCTGAAATATATCTGAAATGTTTTCCATTAAAACAATATGTCAAAATAAAATTTTGATTATTAGTCAACACAATTAACTACCAAAATGCACAAATAAAAAATAGGCATAACCGGAGGCAAACATTTATGAGAAAATATTTGATATAATCGTGATATTATATTAATATTAATAATTTAATATCACTAATTAATAATAAAATAATAAAATAGGTAAAAAAAACTCTACTTTAATAGTTATTAATTTTCGTGGAAAAAAAAGTGAATAGTAATCTGTTTACTGCGTGATAATGTTGATATTAGTATTTTTCAACATTTAGGCGTGTTTCCGTGTAAAAATCAAAATTCATATACGCTTCCCGCCATGAGAATTTAGGGCTCACCAACCCCGCACCTCTGTTCCTCTGGTACTTCCCTAGTTTCAACATACATTCGAGATTTGTTTCTGTTACTCTCTCTTTCTCTCTCTCATCAATTCGACGAATTGCATCTCTCCCTAGTCACCAGAGACAAAAGGAACAAACCCTTGATACTCAAGTTAAAATTAATGGCCGGCAATTCTGATCCTCATGGCTCGGCATTTTCAGCAGCCGAGGTTTGTTCTTCTCCTCTCTCTCTCTCTCTATATGNTGAAAGTTAAAACTAAAGACTTAGAATAAAATTTTAGAGCTCTCAAGCTGCTGTCTAAAAAATGAAGAAACTGCTGTTGAACGAGGGCGAGTGTTTAGAATATTCACTTTTTTTTAATATTTGAAAAACTACATCAAGCCTAATGAATTTAATTTTTTTATATTTTTTTTTCATAAGAATGGGCATGGGGTTTGAGCATGAACGCACGCCTATATGAGAGTGTAATTTAGGCGTGGCCCACAGGCACTTTAGTTTAATTTGATTGAGAAGTGGGTGTGAATGCTTACGCACCTATGACGTACGAGTCGGCATATTCTGTAGGGATGGATCGTGTGGAGACACTTTAGCNTGTGTGTGTGTGTGTGTGTGTGTGTATTTCTTTATCACCCCTTACATATATATGGCGTAGTATATGTATATGTAGCTTCGCTGTAATTACTGGATATGTCAGTTCATGAAAATTTCACTATAATTCTTTCGTTTTTTTTTCGAACAATGGATGATACATTGATTGCTCAGATGGAGTTCCTTGCCGAGGATGAATTGGTGGAGATTGTCCCAAATATGAGAATGGATCCTATCAATTTAATCTGTNTTGATATAACACACGTCAAGCTGATAATAGTCCGAGAAACAATCTCGATACCGCCATGGCAGCTATAAATAAGCTCTCACATAACAACATCAGACAAATCTGTTGTTTCAGTTTAANTTGATATAACACACGTCAAGCTGATAATAGTCCGAGAAACAATCTCGATACCGCCATAGCAGCTATAAATAAGCTCTCACATAACAACATCAGACAAATCTGTTGTTTCAGTTCAGATTCAAACTGATAAATTTTGCAATTGTTGTGATATTCGATCGGTTATTCTCAGGAACATAAATCTAGATCCAGTTAAACGAACAACTACGGTCCCTTTGATTACTAAGAAAACAAACAAAAATCCTCAACCAAGCATGATATGCATGATAATTGTGTGTGTATTTTTCTGAAATCTAAAGAAACAACAATTTTCAAGGACCAGAGCAAAACAGATCAGATGATAGGACATCGAGGATATGATTATAGAAATCATTGAGAAAAATCTCTACAAAATCAAAGACTTACGCATTTCCAGTTGCCGCCGACGAAGAATGTTCTGCCCATCTCCGACTGTGATCACGACGACTATTGCACACCACGTAAAATGTCTCCTATGTGACTGTAGTTCGATCTGTTCGATTTAGCTCTGGTGATGAGTGAGGATTTATATGGATTTTTCAGTCGTTTTCTTTTGGAAAATGATTATTTTTGCGGATCACACTGCGTGACTGTTGAAATGGCTTAATTACCCTCGGTCCTTGTAGAATATTCGCTCTTAGTTTCAAGTATATTTTTTATTTTATTTTTTGAAAAAATTGTCGTTTGTAGTTAATAAGGTGACCTAATTAATTATAATTTTTTTTTTTTTTTTTGGCAATCACACAAGTAGGGTCACTTGGGGCCATATATGTGAGAATAAACCCGGCATATTTACGATTACTTATAAATCACATGTATCAATTAAATCTAAGATATATCAACAAAGGTTAAACTTTTGACATCCAAATCTACGGTTTGTCCAAATTGAAATCCAATTCCACACTACTGAGCTACTTAAGTGAGTAATAAATTGTTAGAGACTCCATCAAACATTAAAATTGTACTTTAGTTAAGAAAATTTAGATAATGTTCATTACACTTTTTATCTAGTGAATGATTATAAATAAATAGTGGGTTTCACTTTTAATTTGTGATAAATAATATTATAGAATAAAATAGAATAAAAGTATAAAAAATATAGTCTCGATATTCTAAATTAGATCTTTTTTTTTTTAACAATTATGTGAGTCTAATTAAAAATTTAGACCAAAATAGTGACTCAATGATCTGAAAACTCCTTAGCAAATAAGGGCCCAACAATAGGTTGTCAAACGTGTCGAGTTAATTTTAATTTTTCCTCCAAAATTTCAAAATATAAATTTGACTTGTTTAATAATGGTGAAAGGATGTGTAAACGTTAACTTGACCTGACTATTAAACGGATTATTTAAATCCGACCTGTTTGACACCTTTAATAAATTGGTTATTGTCGGATTAATACACATAACATGACACGTTTAACACACATAACATGAATTGTTTAACATACATAACTTACTTTCACACATATTCATTACCATTAAATATATCATTTAATTATTCATTCAAAATTTTTTTCAACAATAACATATTATATCTCAAATTAATTAAAATAAATTAAAGTTTAAACCTAAAAGTTAAAGCAATAACTATACTAGTGTACTACCATAATAACATTACGAACTATACATCCAATTATCATAATAGAAGTAAGAATTAATAAATAATAATATTAAAGTTGCATCAGTCATACATAATAGACAAACTATACTATCATAAATAAGTTTATAGTGGGTTAGGTCGAGTATCCGTTTAAAATATACAGATTAATCAAATCAGAATCAGGTTTACTTAATTTTGACATAAACCCGATATGATTTATTTAATGTTTGACTCATTTTGACCCATTAACCTGTTTAATTTCGTGTCTGACCTATTAATTTCATGTTCGATTCGTGTGGCGTCGAAAATTGACAATCATACCTAACAATATCTAATTGGTTATTTAAATTTTGTCATATCTTTTCGACTATATATTTGATTTGGTCTCAATTTTAATCAATAAACAGTATGACAGACACTATAATTAAAATTGTCGCATAGGCGGGTAGTGTAGAGTTTTGCTCGCAATTCAATTGAAAGTTAAAACTAAAGACTTAGAATAAAATTTTAGAGCTCTCAAGCTGCTGTCTAAAAAATGAAGAAACTGCTGTTGAACGAGGGCGAGTGTTTAGAATATTCATTTTTTTTTTAATATTTGAAAAACTACATCAAGCCTAATGAATTTAATTTTTTTATATTTTTTTTTCATAAGAATGGACATGGGGTTTGAGCATGAACGCACGCCTATATGAGAGTGTAATTTAGGCGTGGCCCATAGGCACTTTAGTTTAATTTGATTGAGAAGTGAGTGTGAATGCTTACGCACCTATGACGTACGAGTCGGCATATTCTGTAGGGATGGATCGTGTGGAGGCACTTTAGCCAATGCAAGTGGCAGCTCACGGTTTTGATTGTTCCGTGCACAAGAATCATAGGCGTTACAAAAAGTGGGTGGAGATCAGCGGATTGGGCCGAGTAACTTTTTGCCTTTGAACAGGGACAGTAAACTATGATATAAGTTCCACTTTTAATTATTTATTTTATAAATAAATAAACTTAATACGAAATGAATTAAAAAAAATTAAACTATATATATATGAGATGATTTATTTATATACTAAAGATAACTCGTACTTAAAGACATAATACGATGATAATAGTTTTGAAAAGATGTTAGTAGCCGTTGAATGCCTATTTAACTTATTGAATTCTATGCCGTTTTATATTATAGATTATAAATATTTTTTGTATATGATTTATATAATATACTAATTGAATATGACATAATTTTTTAAATATTAATTAATAAAAGAATCAATTATATGTGAAGTACTTTACGACATGAACACAATCCGTACAACTTGGGCTCGACTTATATTTTAAACAAACTTGTTAGACTTGATTTGTTCTGACCTCGACTAGAGCTCATATTTTTTTAAACATAAGTCAAACTTGAACACATTTTTTAAACTTACTTTGAAACATGAGCTTATTAGGTTTGGATTCAAACTCGTTTTTTCCACTTGTTTATCAAAACCCAAAAAAAATTCGCTTCACTCAGTACCAATGATTAAAATTTTATTTTGAAATAGCTAAAATATTTTTGTTTTTAAGGAGATTAAGACGAAACAGTGATTGAATTAAAAATTTCAATGATTCAGAGTGTTTCAAAATATTTTGATATATTTCGAAATGTTTCAACTAATATTTCATAATATTTTAATATATTTTATTCAATAATTGAGAATGATTTGAAAAAATAAAAATTCAACATTTTTATCTATTTACCATTATGTTTCTGAAACTTATCTGAAATATATCTGAAATGTTTTCCATTAAAACAATATGTGAAAATAAAATTTTGATTATTAGTCAACACAATTAACTACCAAAATGCACAAATAAAAAATAGGCATAACCGGAGGCAAACATTTATGAGAAAATATTTGATATAATCGTGATATTATATTAATATTAATAATTTAATATCACTAATTAATAATAAAATAATAAAATAGGTAAAAAAAACTCTACTTTAATAGTTATTAATTTTCGTGGAAAAAAAAGTGAATAGTAATCTGTTTACTGCGTGATAATGTTGATATTAGTATTTTTCAACATTTAGGCGTGTTTCCGTGTAAAAATCAAAATTCATATACGCTTCCCGCCATGAGAATTTAGGGCTCACCAACCCCGCACCTCTGTTCCTCTGGTACTTCCCTAGTTTCAACATACATTCGAGATTTGTTTCTGTTACTCTCTCTCATCAATTCGACGAATTGCATCTCTCCCTAGTCACCAGAGACAAAAGGAACAAACCCTTGATACTCAAGTTAAAATTAATGGCCGGCAATTCTGATCCTCATGGCTCGGCATTTTCAGCAGCCGAGGTTTGTTCTTCTCCTCTCTCTCTCTCTCTATATGTGTGTGTGTGTGTGTGTGTGTGTATTTCTTTATCACCCCTTACATATATATGGCGTAGTATATGTATATGTAGCTTCGCTGTAATTACTGGATATGTCAGATCATGAAAATTTCACTATAATTCTTTCGTTTTTTTTTCGAACAATGGATGATACATTGATTGCTCAGATGGAGTTCCTTGCCGAGGATGAATTGGTGGAGATTGTCCCAAATATGAGAATGGATCCTATCAATTTAATCTGTGTATGCTTCTCCATTCGTAGTCCCCCTTACTCTCTCTCTTTATATATATATATATATATATCTGTTTTTGAGTGCAAGGGTTATGTTGACACGTGAATTGAATCTTCTGAATTTGACAGGGGGATTTTGGTCCTTTCCGTCCACAAATAGCTACCCAAGTACCTCTGTGGCTGGCGGTGGCTTTGAAGAAGAGAGGAAAATGCACGATTCGGCCTCCGGAGTGGATGTCTGTGGGTGAGTTAACTTGTAGTATTTACGATTGGAGATTTCTATCATTCTGTTTACCTAGAAGTTTTTTGGGGGTTTTAACTGAGGTTCACATGCTATATATCTAATAAAACTCTGAATATGGAAGCCCTAGAAATTCTGTCAGTCTCTATCACTTCTCCTATGTGGAATGATGATAAAAGTTCCTCAAATTCTTAATATTCCAGAAGGCTAGTTTGTTCTTTGCCAATTTTTAACCTTCAGATGTTAATTACTTTGGCATTACTTGTAGTTTTTCTCTTGTCACGACTATATCATTTTTATTGCTTAAATAAGGAGCTTTCTTTTCCCAAAGTTTATTGCTTGATTTGTTATTTTGATGTCCTAGCCTCCGCATGCAAAACTGTATCCAAAGGTGTGTCCAGTTGTCGAATGAAAAGGACTGTGTCTTGAATTGTGCTTGGGCCATGTATGAGTGCAGTATTGGACTTAATTAGTTTCAGCGATTGAAGTAATCATATTAAACCAGAAAATTGTTTAATACATGTCCTAAGGTTTAATCTTGAACAAAAATAAAATATTAACATAACACTTCATTTGGACAACAAAAAATAGAAAATGAGGTAATGAAATTAAGTTTGTTTCATTCTCCCTATGTTTCATGTTCCCTTTAAATCTGGGGATGGATTTTGAAAATATGGTTCTGGTAAAGTTTTTTAGTTTTCTTATTGGTTTCTGCTGTGTGGACAGACAAGCTAACTCAGGTTTTGGAAGCAGAGCGGGACACTGGAAGAGTTTTTCAACCACTACCATTCCATTATGTAGAAATCTCAAGGCTTCTTTTTGACCAGTAAGTAGTTTCACCCGTTCTCCATTTTTGCTTTACCTTCTAAGTATATTGTTGACAAAATTTTGTTGATGTAGTGCTCGTGACGACATTCCTGACATATATATGGTGAGTTAGACAACGCTTTTAGTCTTATTTCTTGATGCATTTGGATTTTTGCAAGGGATTTCATGCAAAATATATCTGATAGGTGAAGTCCCTTATTGAGGACATCAAAGATGTAAGGTTTCACAAAATTGGGACTGGCTTGGAGACCATATCTGGAAGGACAAACGCAGTGAAGGTATCCTTCTTATTTCCCTTATGATTGCATTTCTCGTCTTTCTCATGAAACAAATTCTATTTGCCATTTGAACAGATTCTAGAATTCTAAAAACTGGGGTGTCAGGAGAAGCTTGTTTTGGCCATATTCATTTGAATTGGCATATCTTCTATTTAACTGTGCAAATAAATTGAACTATGTCTTTTATTATTCGAAGAAATGTTGCGTGATTAAACTTGAACCCATGATACTTTTAACATAAAATATTTTCTAACTAGGGCTCGTAAAAACTGTGTTTTTGTTTTGCATGATCACATACTCTATGCTTTGTGGGGGGGGGGGGGTGTTAAATTTTTACATCTCTGAGAAATTTATGTATTTTTTTTGGTGCATAGCAACCACTAGTTTAATATGCTGCCTTGACCTAGTGTTACTTATGAAAATTAGAGTCAATAACAAGACAATTTGCGGCTTTTGCGTTTATAGGTCTTTAATCTTGAGTTTATGATTGCAGCTTTCAAATCTGTCAGCAATGGAAGTAAATATAGTACGCCCATTTCTTGCCGGTGCTCTACAGACATTTTATAAGCTTCATAATCCAGAGATGGTTCCAGAATCAGAAAGAAGGGGCAGTAGACGACCCCAAGGAGCAGACCGTGGGGCAAGAGTAAGTTCTTTGCAATTTATGTTGAATATTATATGGCTATGAGGTGTTGAAAGTACAAAAGTGAGCAATGTTGTTCTCCTAATGCCATCTTGGTGACCAAATTTGCCCTTAGACTAGGTAAATCATCCGCAAAGTGTAGTTCTTTTCTTTTTTCTTTTTGGACCAGTGGCATCAGGCATGAGCTACGTAATATCTATGCTCCACCCATACCGACCTCTCCCCACCATGTGGGAATCAAACCATGTTCCTTCAAAAAGGAAGGTGCAGGAGATACCACTTCAACTAGCAAAGCTTGTATTGTTTTTTTGGGTGGAAGAAATGTACTTTTTTTTGGAAGATGGTTTTGTCATCTTAACCAATTTTCTTTTGGTTTTCCAGCGGACATTGAAACCTAGATAGCCACATTCACTCTGCGATGATGATAGATTATCATCTTTTAAGATCACTTCTACATTTGTGCTAGAGGTAGCGATTTCAGCGTGCTAGCAAGGAAGGTACTGCTACTTATTGTTTTCTTTTTCGAACGGAGCTTTACAGTGGATCTTTAAAATAACCAACCATCACATATTGATGTTGTATTTACATGTATTTTTCTTTCTAAAAAAATCATCTGGAGGTTATAGTACAAACACATTGGATGGAGTGGAATACGTCTTTGTTCATCCAAAAACAAGTTTATGAGAATTCTACTTGATTCTAGTACAACTTTGTGTCCATGTATTATCTTCTTAGCTCTCTTTTCAATCGATACATGTGAATTACTGTGATTTAACTGTTGTTTCATTCCAGATATCAGTGGGTCCAAGGACATTGGCAATTTTGTACAAAAATTACTCTCTTTCTCTGCGTGTGTCTATTTATACTTATATGACTAACTCAGTACTGAGTAGAGAGTANTATATATGAGATGATTTATTTATATACTAAAGATAACTCGTACTTAAAGACATAATACGATGATAATAGTTTTGAAAAGATGTTAGTAGCCGTTGAATGCCTATTTAACTTATTGAATTCTATGCCGTTTTATATTATAGATTATAAATATTTTTTGTATATGATTTATATAATATACTAATTGAATATGACATAATTTTTTAAATATTAATTAATAAAAGAATCAATTATATGTGAAGTACTTTACGACATGAACACAATCCGTACAACTTGGGCTCGACTTATATTTTAAACAAACTTGTTAGACTTGATTTGTTCTGACCTCGACTAGAGCTCATATTTTTTTAAACATAAGTCAAACTTGAACATATTTTTTAAACTTACTTTGAAACATGAGCTTATTAGGTTTGGATTCAAACTCGTTTTTTCCACTTGTTTATCAAAACCCAAAAAAAATTCGCTTCACTCAGTACCAATNCTGCCCATCTCCGACTGTGATCACGACGACTATTGCACACCACGTAAAATGTCTCCTATGTGACTGTAGTTCGATCTGTTCGATTTAGCTCTGGTGATGAGTGAGGATTTATATGGATTTTTCAGTCGTTTTCTTTTGGAAAATGATTATTTTTGCGGATCACACTGCGTGACTGTTGAAATGGCTTAATTACCCTCGGTCCTCGTAGAATATTCGCTCTTAGTTTCAAGTATATTTTTTATTTTATTTTTTGAAAAAATTGTCGTTTGTAGTTAATAAGGTGACCTAATTAATTATAATATTTATTTTTTTTGGCAATCACACAAGTAGGGTCACTTGGGGCCATATATGTGAGAATAAACCCTGCATATTTACGATTACTTATAAATCACATGTATCAATTAAATTTAAGATATATCAACGAAGGTTAAACCTTTGACATCCAAATCTACGGTTCGTCCAAATCGAAATCCAATTCTACACTGCTGAGCTACTTGAGTGAGTAATAAATTGTTAGAGACTCCATCAAACATTAAAATTATACTTTAANAATTCCACACTACTGAGCTACTTAAGTGAGTAATAAATTGTTAGAGACTCCATCAAACATTAAAATTGTACTTTAGTTAAGAAAATTTAGATAATGTTCATTACACTTTTTATCTAGTGAATGATTATAAATAAATAGTGGGTTTCACTTTTAATTTGTGATAAATAATATTATCGAATAAAATAGAATAAAAGTATAAAAAATATAGTCTCGATATTCTAAATTAGATCTTTTTTTTTTTAACAATTATGTGAGTCTAATTAAAAATTTAGACCAAAATAGTGACTCAATGATCTGAAAACTCCTTAACAAATAAGGGCCCAACAATAGGTTATCAAACGTGTCGAGTTAATTTCGATTTTACCTCAAAAATTTCAAAATATAAATATGGCTTGTTTAATAATGTTGAAAGGATGTGTAAACGTTAACTTGACCTGACTATTAAACGGGTTATTTAAATTCGACCTGTTTGACACCTTTAATAAATANTTATTTTTTGAAAAAATTGTCGTTTGTAGTTAATAAGGTGACCTAATTAATTATAATTTTTTTTTTTTTTTTTGGCAATCACACAAGTAGGGTCACTTGGGGCCATATATGTGAGAATAAACCCGGCATATTTACGATTACTTATAAATCACATGTATCAATTAAATCTAAGATATATCAACAAAGGTTAAACTTTTGACATCCAAATCTACGGTTTGTCCAAATTGAAATCCAATTCCACACTACTGAGCTACTTAAGTGAGTAATAAATTGTTAGAGACTCCATCAAACATTAAAATTGTACTTTAGTTAAGAAAATTTAGATAATGTTCATTACACTTTTTATCTAGTGAATGATTATAAATAAATAGTGGGTTTCACTTTTAATTTGTGATAAATAATATTATAGAATAAAATAGAATAAAAGTATAAAAAATATAGTCTCGATATTCTAAATTAGATCTTTTTTTTTTTAACAATTATGTGAGTCTAATTAAAAATTTAGACCAAAATAGTGACTCAATGATCTGAAAACTCCTTAGCAAATAAGGGCCCAACAATAGGTTGTCAAACGTGTCGAGTTAATTTTAATTTTTCCTCCAAAATTTCAAAATATAAATTTGACTTGTTTAATAATGGTGAAAGGATGTGTAAACGTTAACTTGACCTGACTATTAAACGGATTATTTAAATCCGACCTGTTTGACACCTTTAATAAATTGGTTATTGTCGGATTAATACACATAACATGACACGTTTAACACACATAACATGAATTGTTTAACATACATAACTTACTTTCACACATATTCATTACCATTAAATATATCATTTAATTATTCATTCAAAATTTTTTTCAACAATAACATATTATATCTCAAATTAATTAAAATAAATTAAAGTTTAAACCTAAAAGTTAAAGCAATAACTATACTAGTGTACTACCATAATAACATTACGAACTATACATCCAATTATCATAATAGAAGTAAGAATTAATAAATAATAATATTAAAGTTACATCAGTCATACATAATAGGCAAACTATACTATCATAAATAAGTTTATAGTGGGTTAGGTCGAGTACCCGTTTAAAATATACAGATTAATTAAGTTAGAATCAGGTTTACTTAATTTTGACATAAATCCGATATGATTTATTTAATGTTTAAGNATCTTTTTTTTTTTAACAATTATGTGAGTCTAATTAAAAATTTAGACCAAAATAGTGACTCAATGATCTGAAAACTCCTTAGCAAATAAGGGCCCAACAATAGGTTGTCAAACGTGTCGAGTTAATTTTAATTTTTCCTCCAAAATTTCAAAATATAAATTTGACTTGTTTAATAATGGTGAAAGGATGTGTAAACGTTAACTTGACCTGACTATTAAACGGATTATTTAAATCCGACCTGTTTGACACCTTTAATAAATAGGTTATTGTCGGATTAATACACATAACATGACACGTTTAACACACATAACATGAATTGTTTAACATACATAACTTACTTTCACACATATTCATTACCATTAAATATATCATTTAATTATTCATTCAAAATTTTTTTCAACAATAACATATTATATCTCAAATTAATTAAAATAAATTAAAGTTTAAACCTAAAAGTTAAAGCAATAACTATACTAGTGTACTACCATAATAACATTACGAACTATACATCCAATTATCATAATAGAAGTAAGAATTAATAAATAATAATATTAAAGTTACATCAGTCATACATAATAGGCAAACTATACTATCATAAATAAGTTTATAGTGGGTTAGGTCGAGTACCCGTTTAAAATATACAGATTAATTAAGTTAGAATCAGGTTTACTTAATTTTGACATAAATCCGATATGATTTATTTAATGTTTAAGCATTTTGACCCATTAACCTGTTTAATTTCGTGTCTGACCTATTAATTTCATGTTCGATTCGTGTGGCGTCGAAAATTGACAATCCTACCTAACAATATCTAATTGGTTATTTAAATTTTGTCATATCTTTTCGACTATATATTTGATTTGGTCTCAATTTTGATCAATAAGNAAATCCGACCTGTTTGACACCTTTAATAAATTGGTTATTGTCGGATTAATACACATAACATGACACGTTTAACACACATAACATGAATTGTTTAACATACATAACTTACTTTCACACATATTCATTACCATTAAATATATCATTTAATTATTCATTCAAAATTTTTTTCAACAATAACATATTATATCTCAAATTAATTAAAATAAATTAAAGTTTAAACCTAAAAGTTAAAGCAATAACTATACTAGTGTACTACCATAATAACATTACGAACTATACATCCAATTATCATAATAGAAGTAAGAATTAATAAATAATAATATTAAAGTTGCATCAGTCATACATAATAGACAAACTATACTATCATAAATAAGTTTATAGTGGGTTAGGTCGAGTATCCGTTTAAAATATACAGATTAATCAAATCAGAATCAGGTTTACTTAATTTTGACATAAACCCGATATGATTTATTTAATGTTTGACTCATTTTGACCCATTAACCTGTTTAATTTCGTGTCTGACCTATTAATTTCATGTTCGATTCGTGTGGCGTCGAAAATTGACAATCATACCTAACAATATCTAATTGGTTATTTAAATTTTGTCATATCTTTTCGACTATATATTTGATTTGGTCTCAATTTTAATCAATAAACAGTATGACAGACACTATAATTAAAATTGTCGCATAGGCGGGTAGTGTAGAGTTTTGCTCGCAATTCAATTGAAAGTTAAAACTAAAGACTTAGAATAAAATTTTAGAGCTCTCAAGCTGCTGTCTAAAAAATGAAGAAACTGCTGTTGAACGAGGGCGAGTGTTTAGAATATTCATTTTTTTTTTAATATTTGAAAAACTACATCAAGCCTAATGAATTTAATTTTTTTATATTTTTTTTTCATAAGAATGGACATGGGGTTTGAGCATGAACGCACGCCTATATGAGAGTGTAATTTAGGCGTGGCCCATAGGCACTTTAGTTTAATTTGATTGAGAAGTGAGTGTGAATGCTTACGCACCTATGACGTACGAGTCGGCATATTCTGTAGGGATGGATCGTGTGGAGGCACTTTAGTCAATGCAAGTGGCAGCTCACGGTTTTGATTGTTCCGTGCACAAGAATCATAGGCGTTACAAAAAGTGGGTGGAGATCAGCGGATTGGGCCGAGTAACTTTTTGCCTTTGAACAGGGACAGTAAACTATGATATAAGTTCCACTTTTAATTATTTATTTTATAAATAAATAAACTTAATACGAAATGAATTAAAAAAAATTAAACTATATATATATGAGATGATTTATTTATATACTAAAGATAACTCGTACTTAAAGACATAATATAATAATAATAGTTTTGAAAAAATGTTAGTAGCCGTTGAATGCCTATTTAACTTATTGAATTCTATGTCGTTTTATATTATAGATTATAAATATTTTTTGTATATAATTTATATAATATACTAATTGAATATGACATAATTTTTTAAATATTAATTAATAAAAGAATCAATTATATGTGAATTACTTTTCGACATGAACACAATCCGTACAACTTGGGCTCGACTTATATTTTAAACAAACTTGTTAGACTTGATTTGTTCTGACCTCGACTAGAGCTCATATTTTTTTAAACATAAGTCAAACTTGAACACATTTTTTAAACTTACTTTGAAACATGAGCTTATTAGGTTTGGATTCAAACTCGTTTTTTTCACTTGTTTATCAAAACCCAAAAAAAATTCGCTTCACTTAGTACCAACGATTAAAATTTTATTTTGAAATAGCTAAAATATTTTTGTTTTTAAGGAGATTAAGACGAAACAGTGATTGAATTAAAAATTTCAATGATTCAGAGTGTTTCAAAATATTTTGATATATTTCGAAATGTTTCAACTAATATTTCATAATATTTTAATATATTTTATTCAATAATTGAGAATGATTTGAAAAAATAAAAATTCAACATTTTTATCTATTTACCATTATGTTTCTGAAACTTATCTGAAATATATCTGAAATGTTTTCCATTAAAACAATATGTCAAAATAAAATTTTGATTATTAGTCAACACAATTAACTACCAAAATGCACAAATAAAAAATAGGCATAACCGGAGGCAAACATTTATGAGAAAATATTTGATATAATCGTGATATTATATTAATATTAATAATTTAATATCACTAATTAATAATAAAATAATAAAATAGGTAAAAAAAACTCTACTTTAATAGTTATTAATTTTCGTGGAAAAAAAAGTGAATAGTAATCTGTTTACTGCGTGATAATGTTGATATTAGTATTTTTCAACATTTAGGCGTGTTTCCGTGTAAAAATCAAAATTTATATACGCTTCCCGCCATGAGAATTTAGGGCTCACCAACCCCGCACCTCTGTTCCTCTGGTACTTCCCTAGTTTCAACATACATTCGAGATTTGTTTCTGTTACTCTCTCTTTCTCTCTCTCATCAATTCGACGAATTGCATCTCTCCCTAGTCACCAGAGACAAAAGGAACAAACCCTTGATACTCAAGTTAAAATTAATGGCCGGCAATTCTGATCCTCATGGCTCGGCATTTTCAGCAGCCGAGGTTTGTTCTTCTCCTCTCTCTCTCTCTCTATATGTGTGTGTGTGTGTGTGTGTGTGTATTTCTTTATCACCCCTTACATATATATGGCGTAGTATATGTATATGTAGCTTCGCTGTAATTACTGGATATGTCAGTTCATGAAAATTTCACTATAATTCTTTCGTTTTTTTTTCGAACAATGGATGATACATTGATTGCTCAGATGGAGTTCCTTGCCGAGGATGAATTGGTGGAGATTGTCCCAAATATGAGAATGGATCCTATCAATTTAATCTGTGTATGCTTCTCCATTCGTAGTCCCCCTTACTCTCTCTCTTTATATATATATATATATATATCTGTTTTTGAGTGCAAGGGTTATGTTGACACGTGAATTGAATCTTCTGAATTTGACAGGGGGATTTTGGTCCTTTCCGTCCACAAATAGCTACCCAAGTACCTCTGTGGCTGGCGGTGGCTTTGAAGAAGAGAGGAAAATGCACGATTCGGCCTCCGGAGTGGATGTCTGTGGGTGAGTTAACTTGTAGTATTTACGATTGGAGATTTCTATCATTCTGTTTACCTAGAAGTTTTTTGGGGGTTTTAACTGAGGTTCACATGCTATATATCTAATAAAACTCTGAATATGGAAGCCCTAGAAATTCTGTCAGTCTCTATCACTTCTCCTATGTGGAATGATGATAAAAGTTCCTCAAATTCTTAATATTCCAGAAGGCTAGTTTGTTCTTTGCCAATTTTTAACCTTCAGATGTTAATTACTTTGGCATTACTTGTAGTTTTTCTCTTGTCACGACTATATCATTTTTATTGCTTAAATAAGGAGCTTTCTTTTCCCAAAGTTTATTGCTTGATTTGTTATTTTGATGTCCTAGCCTCCGCATGCAAAACTGTATCCAAAGGTGTGTCCAGTTGTCGAATGAAAAGGACTGTGTCTTGAATTGTGCTTGGGCCATGTATGAGTGCAGTATTGGACTTAATTAGTTTCAGCGATTGAAGTAATCATATTAAACCAGAAAATTGTTTAATACATGTCCTAAGGTTTAATCTTGAACAAAAATAAAATATTAACATAACACTTCATTTGGACAACAAAAAATAGAAAATGAGGTAATGAAATTAAGTTTGTTTCATTCTCCCTATGTTTCATGTTCCCTTTAAATCTGGGGATGGATTTTGAAAATATGGTTCTGGTAAAGTTTTTTAGTTTTCTTATTGGTTTCTGCTGTGTGGACAGACAAGCTAACTCAGCTTTTGGAAGCAGAGCGGGACACTGAAAGAGTTTTTCAACCACTACCATTCCATTATGTAGAAATCTCAAGGCTTCTTTTTGACCAGTAAGTAGTTTCACCCGTTCTCCATTTTTGCTTTACCTTCTAAGTATATTGTTGACAAAATTTTGTTGATGTAGTGCTCGTGACGACATTCCTGATATATATATGGTGAGTTAGACAACGCTTTTAGCCTTATTTCTTGATGCATTTGGATTTTTGCAAGGGATTTCATGCAAAATATATCTGATAGGTGAAGTCCCTTATTGAGGACATCAAAGATGTAAGGTTTCACAAAATTGGGACTGGCTTGGAGACCATATCTGGAAGGACAAACGCAGTGAAGGTATCCTTCTTATTTCCCTTATGATTGCATTTCTCGTCTTTCTCATGAAACAAATTCTATTTGCCATTTGAACAGATTCTAGAATTCTAAAAACTGGGGTGTCAGGAGAAGCTTGATTTGGCCATATTCATTTGAATTGGCATATCTTCTATTTAACTGTGCAAATAAATTGAACTATGTCTTTTATTATTCGAAGAAATGTTGCGTGATTAAACTTGAACCCATGATACTTTTAACATAAAATATTTTCTAACTAGGGCTCGTAAAAACTGTGTTTTTGTTTTGCATGGTCACATACTCTATGCTTTGTGGGGGGGGGGGGGTGTTAAATTTTTACATCTCTGAGAAATTTATGTATTTTTTTTGGTGCATAGCAACCACTAGTTTAATATGCTGCCTTGACCTAGTGTTACTTATGAAAATTAGAGTCAATAACAAGACAATTTGCGGCTTTTGCGTTTATAGGTCTTTAATCTTGAGTTTATGATTGCAGCTTTCAAATCTGTCAGCAATGGAAGTAAATATAGTACGCCCATTTCTTGCCGGTGCTCTACAGACATTTTATAAGCTTCATAATCCAGAGATGGTTCCAGAATCAGAAAGAAGGGGCAGTAGACGACCCCAAGGAGCAGACCGTGGGGCAAGAGTAAGTTCTTTGCAATTTATGTTGAATATTATATGGCTATGAGGTGTTGAAAGTACAAAAGTGAGCAATGTTGTTCTCCTAATGCCATCTTGGTGACCAAATTTGCCCTTAGACTAGGTAAATCATCCGCAAAGTGTAGTTCTTTTCTTTTTTCTTTTTGGACCAGTGGCATCAGGCATGAGCTACGTAATATCTATGCTCCACCCATACCGACCTCTCCCCACCATGTGGGAATCAAACCATGTTCCTTCAAAAAGGAAGGTGCAGGAGATACCACTTCAACTAGCAAAGCTTGTATTGTTTTTTTGGGTGGAAGAAATGTACTTTTTTTTGGAAGATGGTTTTGTCATCTTAACCAATTTTCTTTTGGTTTTCCAGCGGACATTGAAACCTAGATAGCCACATTCACTCTGCGATGATGATAGATTATCATCTTTTAAGATCACTTCTACATTTGTGCTAGAGGTAGCGATTTCAGCGTGCTAGCAAGGAAGGTACTGCTACTTATTGTTTTCTTTTTCGAACGGAGCTTTACAGTGGATCTTTAAAATAACCAACCATCACATATTGATGTTGTATTTACATGTATTTTTCTTTCTAAAAAAATCATCTGGAGGTTATAGTACAAACACATTGGATGGAGTGGAATACGTCTTTGTTCATCCAAAAACAAGTTTATGAGAATTCTACTTGATTCTAGTACAACTTTGTGTCCATGTATTATCTTCTTAGCTCTCTTTTCAATCGATACATGTGAATTACTGTGATTTAACTGTTGTTTCATTCCAGATATCAGTGGGTCCAAGGACATTGGCAATTTTGTACAAAAATTACTCTCTTTCTCTGCGTGTGTCTATTTATACTTATATGACTAACTCAGTACTGAGTAGAGAGTAACATTGGTCAAAACTAGTAGCTTACATGCATGTTTCAAAATCTCCAAAAAAAAAAAAAAAAAAAAAGAAAATGAAAAAGAAAAAGGAAAAAGGAAGATACATTGCAATTACAAAATTAGGAGCATGTCAATGAGACGAGTTCGGCACCTACATTGTCTCTGATATGTGAGATATCGTATTATTTGAATTTTTGTTTAAAACACTCTTCAATTGATTGGCCAAGTGACTTGGCAAGTTTAAGAAATTTAGTGTCAGGGAATAATCCTGCCCATGGGATTTCCAAAGTAAACCATTTCAGCAGAGATGGATTCTTATTTCAGTAGTTGAGATTAAAACTAGTCAGTAAGTCATCTACTGGCCTATGAAATTTGATAGATTGGACAAGGTTTTGTTGAGTTGCATTTATGCTAGACTGGACAAAGGGGGATCATTTAGGAGTGGTCTAGCATGCAGAAGCTACTTTGACTCTCAGCTGGATGTAGGGGTGTAATTTGGGCGGGTCAACCCGAATTCAACCAAAGCCCAACCCAAAAAAAAAAAGGGCTTGGGTTAGAATTTTTAATACTCGGGTTGAGCTTGGGCAAAAAATTTTTAACCCGAATTGAATTTGGTCAAGCCTCGGGTGGAGGCCTCAGGTTGTCGGGTTCAACCCGAATATACATAAATATATAAATATATTTAACTAGCGTTAGTACTTATTTTCACTTTTTAGAGTTCAGACTTTTACTTCACTTTATGCCTTCACCCCTACACCTTTATCACCCTCAGATACCTCTCACTTGTCACTTCTCTCTCTCTCAGCCTCCCTCCTCCAATTGTCACTCGTCTTAGTTGTCTTAGACTCTCAGCCTCCTTCTCTCACTCGTCATTTCTACCTCTCTCACTCCCTCTTTCACTCCCTCTCTTCATCCGTTCTTCGCCCTTCATCTTAGATCACTTGAAAAAATTAGATTTACACTTGAAAAAAATTAGATTTACACTTGAAAAAATCAAATCTACACTTCAAAAAATCAACTTGAATAAAGTAACTTAAGTCCAACCCAATTTTTAACCCAAAATTAGCCCGAATTAAGTAACTCGAATTCAACCTAAGCTCGCCCGGATTAAACTTGGGCAATATTTGGGTTGAGGTAAGGTTAGGGTTAAAGATTATATACCAAAGGTTGGATTAGGGTTGACCTCTCAACTCTTCCAACCCGCCCGAGTTGCATCCCTAGACTAATGGTATACAAATGAGCCAATCTGAAAAATAGTTGGTTCTCATTCTGGCTCACCAATAAATACATAATCAGCTGACTGAGAATTGTTTTCCTATGACAAGGGTAGACTGCAATTATGATGGAGATTGATTTCCCTAACTTTCTTGTATACCAGTCCCATTTTGGAAATTGCACATTTTCCACATGAAGGTCTGAGAAATGATTTCAGTTTTCAGCCAGTAAGAATGTATTTGTTCTGCGGCTTCTGCCTTGTGTAGAGTAGGATGTCAATTAATGGTCACTGGTTTTATTACTTGCAAAGCTTCTACTGGAACATGTGTGTCTAAAGACTAAGTCATGTTTGGCATAATAAAGTGAAAGGTCTCTTTGTCTAGTGTTTACAATGTTAGGCTGACTTTCTGCAGAGTTTTATTGTAGTTTACGAGTGTTGTGTTAACTGTAAAATATCGAAAATTAAATGTATAACATTGAAAAATATTGAGGAACACTGACTTCTGATGACTAGTTCTACAATGAGTTATTGTTCAAATTCATTTCGAGTGGTTACAACTCATCATTTTCTGTAAAACTTTTGTTAAAATGTCAATCAAGTTAAGGAAATCATGATGTGATGTTGCACTATATGATTGAATGCCAGTGTATTAGATAGATTAGGCAGATTGCTTTTGCTATTGAGACTTTCATGGGCCACTGGTGTAGATCATACTTTTAGCTGCCTGCATATAGTAATTGGTTCAGATTTGAACGACAATAAACTTTATGAGAGAGAATTATTTGCACTATGCTTTCTCTTGGTGTTACTTTCACAGCCAATTTCTGACGCCACCTGTTTGAAAATACTCTGAAAACAGGTGATTTTGTTTTGTTTCCTGTTATATTACTCTTACTAGTTGATATGCATTGAGACGCTGATCAAAATAGAACAAAGCACCAGGTCCTGTGTCAAACAAACAAACAAACATTGAAGCTCGATATGATGTTAGCGGTAGGTTTAATGGCCACCGCCCCTGTTGTTGAACTCTTATTGTAGTATACTCAAGTTTAATTAAAGTTNTCGTGTCTGACCTATTAATTTCATGTTCGATTCGTGTGGCGTCGAAAATTGACAATCATACCTAACAATATCTAATTGGTTATTTAAATTTTGTCATATCTTTTCGACTATATATTTGATTTGGTCTCAATTTTAATCAATAAANTGCATTGAGACGCTGATCAAAATAGAACAAAGCACCAGGTCCTGTGTCAAACAAACATTGAAGCTCGCTATGATGTTAGCGGTAGGTTTAATGGCCACCGCCCCTGTTGTTGAACTCTTATTGTAGTATACTCAAGTTTAATTAAAGTTGACCTTAATTGTTATCAAGTTGGNGAGTTTTGCTCGCAATTCAATTGAAAGTTAAAACTAAAGACTTAGAATAAAATTTTAGAGCTCTCAAGCTGCTGTCTAAAAAATGAAGAAACTGCTGTTGAACGAGGGCGAGTGTTTAGAATATTCATTTTTTTTTTAATATTTGAAAAACTACATCAAGCCTAATGAATTTAATTTTTTTATATTTTTTTTTCATAAGAATGGACATGGGGTTTGAGCATGAACGCACGCCTATATGAGAGTGTAATTTAGGCGTGGCCCATAGGCACTTTAGTTTAATTTGATTGAGAAGTGAGTGTGAATGCTTACGCACCTATGACGTACGAGTCGGCATATTCTGTAGGGATGGATCGTGTGGAGGCACTTTAGTCAATGCAAGTGGCAGCTCACGGTTTTGATTGTTCCGTGCACAAGAATCATAGGCGTTACAAAAAGTGGGTGGAGATCAGCGGATTGGGCCGAGTAACTTTTTGCCTTTGAACAGGGACAGTAAACTATGATATAAGTTCCACTTTTAATTATTTATTTTATAAATAAATAAACTTAATACGAAATGAATTAAAAAAAATTAAACTATATATATATGAGATGATTTATTTATATACTAAAGATAACTCGTACTTAAAGACATAATATAATAATAATAGTTTTGAAAAAATGTTAGTAGCCGTTGAATGCCTATTTAACTTATTGAATTCTATGTCGTTTTATATTATAGATTATAAATATTTTTTGTATATAATTTATATAATATACTAATTGAATATGACATAATTTTTTAAATATTAATTAATAAAAGAATCAATTATATGTGAATTACTTTTCGACATGAACACAATCCGTACAACTTGGGCTCGACTTATATTTTAAACAAACTTGTTAGACTTGATTTGTTCTGACCTCGACTAGAGCTCATATTTTTTTAAACATAAGTCAAACTTGAACACATTTTTTAAACTTACTTTGAAACATGAGCTTATTAGGTTTGGATTCAAACTCGTTTTTTTCACTTGTTTATCAAAACCCAAAAAAAATTCGCTTCACTTAGTACCAACGATTAAAATTTTATTTTGAAATAGCTAAAATATTTTTGTTTTTAAGGAGATTAAGACGAAACAGTGATTGAATTAAAAATTTCAATGATTCAGAGTGTTTCAAAATATTTTGATATATTTCGAAATGTTTCAACTAATATTTCATAATATTTTAATATATTTTATTCAATAATTGAGAATGATTTGAAAAAAATAAAAATTCAACATTTTTATCTATTTACCATTATGTTTCTGAAACTTATCTGAAATATATCTGAAATGTTTTCCATTAAAACAATATGTGAAAATAAAATTTTGATTATTAGTCAACACAATTAACTACCAAAATGCACAAATAAAAAATAGGCATAACCGGAGGCAAACATTTATGAGAAAATATTTGATATAATCGTGATATTATATTAATATTAATAATTTAATATCACTAATTAATAATAAAATAATAAAATAGGTAAAAAAAACTCTACTTTAATAGTTATTAATTTTCGTGGAAAAAAAAGTGAATAGTAATCTGTTTACTGCGTGATAATGTTGATATTAGTATTTTTCAACATTTAGGCGTGTTTCCGTGTAAAAATCAAAATTCATATACGCTTCCCGCCATGAGAATTTAGGGCTCACCAACCCCGCACCTCTGTTCCTCTGGTACTTCCCTAGTTTCAACATACATTCGAGATTTGTTTCTGTTACTCTCTCTCATCAATTCGACGAATTGCATCTCTCCCTAGTCACCAGAGACAAAAGGAACAAACCCTTGATACTCAAGTTAAAATTAATGGCCGGCAATTCTGATCCTCATGGCTCGGCATTTTCAGCAGCCGAGGTTTGTTCTTCTCCTCTCTCTCTCTCTCTATATGTGTGTGTGTGTGTGTGTGTGTGTATTTCTTTATCACCCCTTACATATATATGGCGTAGTATATGTATATGTAGCTTCGCTGTAATTACTGGATATGTCAGTTCATGAAAATTTCACTATAATTCTTTCGTTTTTTTTTCGAACAATGGATGATACATTGATTGCTCAGATGGAGTTCCTTGCCGAGGATGAATTGGTGGAGATTGTCCCAAATATGAGAATGGATCCTATCAATTTAATCTGTGTATGCTTCTCCATTCGTAGTCCCCCTTACTCTCTCTCTTTATATATATATATATCTGTTTTTGAGTGCAAGGGTTATGTTGACACGTGAATTGAATCTTCTGAATTTGACAGGGGGATTTTGGTCCTTTCCGTCCACAAATAGCTACCCAAGTACCTCTGTGGCTGGCGGTGGCTTTGAAGAAGAGAGGAAAATGCACGATTCGGCCTCCGGAGTGGATGTCTGTGGGTGAGTTAACTTGTAGTATTTACGATTGGAGATTTCTATCATTCTGTTTACCTAGAAGTTTTTTGGGGGTTTTAACTGAGGTTCACATGCTATATATCTAATAAAACTCTGAATATGGAAGCCCTAGAAATTCTGTCAGTCTCTATCACTTCTCCTATGTGGAATGATGATAAAAGTTCCTCAAATTCTTAATATTCCAGAAGGCTAGTTTGTTCTTTGCCAATTTTTAACCTTCAGATGTTAATTACTTTGGCATTACTTGTAGTTTTTCTCTTGTCACGACTATATCATTTTTATTGCTTAAATAAGGAGCTTTCTTTTCCCAAAGTTTATTGCTTGATTTGTTATTTTGATGTCCTAGCCTCCGCATGCAAAACTGTATCCAAAGGTGTGTCCAGTTGTCGAATGAAAAGGACTGTGTCTTGAATTGTGCTTGGGCCATGTATGAGTGCAGTATTGGACTTAATTAATTTCAGCGATTGAAGTAATCATATTAAACCAGAAAATTGTTTAATACATGTCCTAAGGTTTAATCTTGAACAAAAATAAAATATTAACATAACACTTCATTTGGACAACAAAAAATAGAAAATGAGGTAATGAAATTAAGTTTGTTTCATTCTCCCTATGTTTCATGTTCCCTTTAAATCTGGGGATGGATTTTGAAAATATGGTTCTGGTAAAGTTTTTTAGTTTTCTTATTGGTTTCTGCTGTGTGGACAGACAAGCTAACTCAGGTTTTGGAAGCAGAGCGGGACACTGGAAGAGTTTTTCAACCACTACCATTCCATTATGTAGAAATCTCAAGGCTTCTTTTTGACCAGTAAGTAGTTTCACCCGTTCTCCATTTTTGCTTTACCTTCTAAGTATATTGTTGACAAAATTTTGTTGATGTAGTGCTCGTGACGACATTCCTGACATATATATGGTGAGTTAGACAACGCTTTTAGCCTTATTTCTTGATGCATTTGGATTTTTGCAAGGGATTTCATGCAAAATATATCTGATAGGTGAAGTCCCTTATTGAGGACATCAAAGATGTAAGGTTTCACAAAATTGGGACTGGCTTGGAGACCATATCTGGAAGGACAAACGCAGTGAAGGTATCCTTCTTATTTCCCTTATGATTGCATTTCTCGTCTTTCTCATGAAACAAATTCTATTTGCCATTTGAACAGATTCTAGAATTCTAAAAACTGGGGTGTCAGGAGAAGCTTGTTTTGGCCATATTCATTTGAATTGGCATATCTTCTATTTAACTGTGCAAATAAATTGAACTATGTCTTTTATTATTCGAAGAAATGTTGCGTGATTAAACTTGAACCCATGATACTTTTAACATAAAATATTTTCTAACTAGGGCTCGTAAAAACTGTGTTTTTGTTTTGCATGATCACATACTCTATGCTTTGTGGGGGGGGGGGGGTGTTAAATTTTTACATCTCTGAGAAATTTATGTATTTTTTTTGGTGCATAGCAACCACTAGTTTAATATGCTGCCTTGACCTAGTGTTACTTATGAAAATTAGAGTCAATAACAAGACAATTTGCCGCTTTTGCGTTTATAGGTCTTTAATCTTGAGTTTATGATTGCAGCTTTCAAATCTGTCAGCAATGGAAGTAAATATAGTACGCCCATTTCTTGCCGGTGCTCTACAGACATTTTATAAGCTTCATAATCCAGAGATGGTTCCAGAATCAGAAAGAAGGGGCAGTAGACGACCCCAAGGAGCAGACCGTGGGGCAAGAGTAAGTTCTTTGCAATTTATGTTGAATATTATATGGCTATGAGGTGTTGAAAGTACAAAAGTGAGCAATGTTGTTCTCCTAATGCCATCTTGGTGACCAAATTTGCCCTTAGACTAGGTAAATCATCCGCAAAGTGTAGTTCTTTTCTTTTTTCTTTTTGGACCAGTGGCATCAGGCATGAGCTACGTAATATCTATGCTCCACCCATACCGACCTCTCCCCACCATGTGGGAATCAAACCATGTTCCTTCAAAAAGGAAGGTGCAGGAGATACCACTTCAACTAGCAAAGCTTGTATTGTTTTTTTGGGTGGAAGAAATGTACTTTTTTTTGGAAGATGGTTTTGTCATCTTAACCAATTTTCTTTTGGTTTTCCAGCGGACATTGAAACCTAGATAGCCACATTCACTCTGCGATGATGATAGATTATCATCTTTTAAGATCACTTCTACATTTGTGCTAGAGGTAGCGATTTCAGCGTGCTAGCAAGGAAGGTACTGCTACTTATTGTTTTCTTTTTCGAACGGAGCTTTACAGTGGATCTTTAAAATAACCAACCATCACATATTGATGTTGTATTTACATGTATTTTTCTTTCTAAAAAAATCATCTGGAGGTTATAGTACAAACACATTGGATGGAGTGGAATACGTCTTTGTTCATCCAAAAACAAGTTTATGAGAATTCTACTTGATTCTAGTACAACTTTGTGTCCATGTATTATCTTCTTAGCTCTCTTTTCAATCGATACATGTGAATTACTGTGATTTAACTGTTGTTTCATTCCAGATATCAGTGGGTCCAAGGACATTGGCAATTTTGTACAAAAATTACTCTCTTTCTCTGCGTGTGTCTATTTATACTTATATGACTAACTCAGTACTGAGTAGAGAGTAACATTGGTCAAAACTAGTAGCTTACATGCATGTTTCAAAATCTCCAAAAAAAAAAGAAAAAAGAAAATGAAAAGGAAAAAGGAAGATACATTGCAATTACAAAATTAGGAGCATGTCAATGAGACAAGTTCGGCACCTACATTGTCTCTGATATGTGAGATATCGTATTATTTGAATTTTTGTTTAAAACACTCTTCAATTGATTGGCCAAGTGACTTGGCAAGTTTAAGAAATTTAGTGTCAGGGAATAATCCTGCCCATGGGATTTCCAAAGTAAACCATTTCAGCAGAGATGGATTCTTATTTCAGTAGTTGAGATTAAAACTAGTCAGTAAGTCATCTACTGGCCTATGAAATTTGATAGATTGGACAAGGTTTTGTTGAGTTGCATTTATGCTAGACTGGACAAAGGGGGATCATTTAGGAGTGGTCTAGCATGCAGAAGCTACTTTGACTCTCAGCTGGATGTAGGGGTATAATTTGGGCGGGCCAACTCGAATTCAACCAAAGCCCAACCCAAAAAAAAAAGGGTTTGGGTTAGAATTTTTAATACTCGGGTTGAGCTTGGGCAAAAAATTTTTAACCCGAATTGAATTTGGTCAAGCCTCGGGTGGAGGCCTCAGGTTGTCGGGTTCAACCCGAATATACATAAATATATAAATATATTTAACTAGCGTTAGTACTTATTTTCACTTTTTAGAGTTCAGACTTTTACTTCACTTTATGCCTTCACCCCTACACCTTTATCACCCTCAGATACCTCTCACTTGTCACTTCTCTCTCTCTCAGCCTCCCTCCTCCAATTGTCACTCGTCTTAGTTGTCTTAGACTCTCAGCCTCCTTCTCTCACTCGTCATTTCTACCTCTCTCACTCCCTCTTTCACTCCCTCTCTTCATCCGTTCTTCGCCCTTCATCTTAGATCACTTGAAAAAATTAGATTTACACTTGAAAAAAATTAGATTTACACTTGAAAAAATCAAATCTACACTTCAAAAAATCAACTTGAATAAAGTAACTTAAGTCCAACCCAATTTTTAACCCAAAATTAGCCCGAATTAAGTAACTCGAATTCAACCTAAGCTCGCCCGGATTAAACTTGGGCAATATTTGGGTTGAGGTAAGGTTAGGGTTAAAGATTATATACCAAAGGTTGGATTAGGGTTGACCTCTCAACTCTTCCAACCCGCCCGAGTTGCATCCCTAGACTAATGGTATACAAATGAGCCAATCTGAAAAATAGTTGGTTCTCATTCTGGCTCACCAATAAATACATAATCAGCTGACTGAGAATTGTTTTCCTATGACAAGGGTAGACTGCAATTATGATGGAGATTGATTTCCCTAACTTTCTTGTATACCAGTCCCATTTTGGAAATTGCACATTTTCCACATGAAGGTCTGAGAAATGATTTCAGTTTTCAGCCAGTAAGAATGTATTTGTTCTGCGGCTTCTGCCTTGTGTAGAGTAGGATGTCAATTAATGGTCACTGGTTTTATTACTTGCAAAGCTTCTACTGGAACATGTGTGTCTAAAGACTAAGTCATGTTTGGCATAATAAAGTGAAAGGTCTCTTTGTCTAGTGTTTACAATGTTAGGCTGACTTTCTGCAGAGTTTTATTGTAGTTTACGAGTGTTGTGTTAACTGTAAAATATCGAAAATTAAATGTATAACATTGAAAAATATTGAGGAACACTGACTTCTGATGACTAGTTCTACAATGAGTTATTGTTCAAATTCATTTCGAGTGGTTACAACTCATCATTTTCTGTAAAACTTTTGTTAAAATGTCAATCAAGTTAAGGAAATCATGATGTGATGTTGCACTATATGATTGAATGCCAGTGTATTAGATAGATTAGGCAGATTGCTTTTGCTATTGAGACTTTCATGGGCCACTGGTGTAGATCATACTTTTAGCTGCCTGCATATAGTAATTGGTTCAGATTTGAACGACAATAAACTTTATGAGAGAGAATTATTTGCACTATGCTTTCTCTTGGTGTTACTTTCACAGCCAATTTCTGACGCCACCTGTTTGAAAATACTCTGAAAACAGGTGATTTTGTTTTGTTTCCTGTTATATTACTCTTACTAGTTGATATGCATTGAGACGCTGATCAAAATAGAACAAAGCACCAGGTCCTGNCAAATGAGCCAATCTGAAAAATAGTTGGTTCTCATTCTGGCTCACCAATAAATACATAATCAGCTGACTGAGAATTGTTTTCCTATGACAAGGGTAGACTGCAATTATGATGGAGATTGATTTCCCTAACTTTCTTGTATACCAGTCCCATTTTGGAAATTGCACATTTTCCACATGAAGGTCTGAGAAATGATTTCAGTTTTCAGCCAGTAAGAATGTATTTGTTCTGCGGCTTCTGCCTTGTGTAGAGTAGGATGTCAATTAATGGTCACTGGTTTTATTACTTGCAAAGCTTCTACTGGAACATGTGTGTCTAAAGACTAAGTCATGTTTGGCATAATAAAGTGAAAGGTCTCTTTGTCTAGTGTTTACAATGTTAGGCTGACTTTCTGCAGAGTTTTATTGTAGTTTACGAGTGTTGTGTTAACTGTAAAATATCGAAAATTAAATGTATAACATTGAAAAATATTGAGGAACACTGACTTCTGATGACTAGTTCTACAATGAGTTATTGTTCAAATTCATTTCGAGTGGTTACAACTCATCATTTTCTGTAAAACTTTTGTTAAAATGTCAATCAAGTTAAGGCAATCATGATGTGATGTTGCACTATATGATTGAATGCCAGTGTATTAGATAGATTAGGCAGATTGCTTTTGCTATTGAGACTTTCATGGGCCACTGGTGTAGATCATACTTTTAGCTGCCTGCATATAGTAATTGGTTCAGATTTGAACGACAATAAACTTTATGAGAGAGAATTATTTGCACTATGCTTTCTCTTGGTGTTACTTTCACAGCCAATTTCTGACGCCACCTGTTTGAAAATACTCTGAAAACAGGTGATTTTGTTTTGTTTCCTGTTATATTACTCTTACTAGTTGATATGCATTGAGACGCTGATCAAAATAGAACAAAGCACCAGGTCCTGTGTCAAACAAACATTGAAGCTCGCTATGATGTTAGCGGTAGGTTTAATGGCCACCGCCCCTGTTGTTGAACTCTTATTGTAGTATACTCAAGTTTAATTAAAGTTGACCTTAATTGTTATCAAGTTGGCGGTGATCAGCCAACTAGTTGTTCAATTTTTTTATATTAAGGAACAATTTTTTTTAAATGCTGTGCTGTTTTGAAATTATTAGATTCCACTTTCAGGGTCTACCTTTTTCAATGATTAGATTCCAACTCGTCTGCTTTTTTTAATTAATTATTTGTGTCTTTTTTTTTTGTGGGGGGTGTGTGTGGAGTTTCTTGCTCTCATCCCTTGAATCTTGGTGTGTTTTGAAAGCTGGGAACCATGTGGTGCTGTCCAGTGTGGTCCCATTGGCTTTCGCAGGGATGAAATGGTTTCAACATTATAGCTTACGAACTCCGTTTCTGACATATACATTGTCGTTTTCAATTGCGGTTCAAATTAAAAATTTTAGAGATTAAAATGACACAATTTCAAAGAATGAAGATCAGAATGAGACGGAGTATCTTTTGTATATAATATATGTTGATGTACTTGTTTTTGCAGATAGCTTTGTATATATGTTATATACATTTATTGTGTTCATAATTAAATTGGGTTGTAAGTTATTTTTATGCACAATTTTATATTTTGTATTTTCTCTTTTATTTTTTTACCATTATTCTACTAAACAAATAGACTCGTCAAAAGTAAATTTTCTTTTGTATTTTGTTTTAAGGAGCATTGTCATCAACATTTGATGATCTACGAACTCAAAACGAGAGGTGGGTGCTTGAACTGAAGTTCAAGGCTTACGAGTAGTGGTGAGTGAATGGATAGTGTAGAAGATATCGATTTGTGGTTGAGCTTGATGGCTCTGTAAGATGCTACAGTAATCGTAGAATAGGTAAAAGAGTTAGGAAACAGGTAAGAACACATATATTATAGTGATTCATCAATTGAAAAGTTTAATTAATCTATTCTAATGTTCTGTTTGATAGGAAATATGAAAAATAAGAGTTGTGAAAAAAATAAAGAGAATAGACTTTCCATCCATGAAGGATGAAATTACTCTTTCCCTCTGTTTTGTTTGGTACGAAAGATGGAAAATTGAAGGAATAAATTTTTCATTGTTTGGTATTGAAAGAAAAATAAAAGGAAAAAAAACCAATAGAAGTTCAATTTACCATAATACGCTCACAATGAAAATAACCATTGTACCATTTTTATATAAATATAATTTTTTTACTATATGAATCAATTTTATTAATCTTAAAAGATTCAAGATTCTTTTATTTTGTAAAAATAATAAAATGGATCTATATCCAAAAATAATACAGTAACAAATACAACAATATATTTTTGTGATTCATATATTCATTTTTTAATAATAGAATGTTTTTGTTAAATACTAAACATTTGGTTGATTTTGCTTGATCAAATTTCTAGTTATAATTGTAGTTATACCTTATGGTGATCGACAAAATATGTATGAACTGGGAATGAAATACATCAATAAAAGGTAAAAATGTCAACTTAAAAAATTGTAGTCTTGCCTTCACTTTTTCCCTCCATTTTCTGTTCAAATTTGGATTGAAAATATTTGGTGGACTGGAAGGATAGAGATCCTCTCCCATTTTCCACTCCCTCGTACTTTCTTTTGATACTAAACAATAGAAACCTTTTATTTCCCTTCCATTTTCCCTCTCTCACTTTCCTTCCACCCAATTTTTCACTATACCAAACACACTATAAGAGAGTCTCTTGTTCTTTGGGGGTTTTTATTGCTTGGAGAATNGTGTT